TTTGTTTAGACACACTTCCTTAATTTTTTTTCTTCTTTCTCACTTTCAATTTCTTTCCTATTTTAACCCATAATTTTTCTTTGATTCATTTTTCGGTCTAATCTTGCATCAAAAGCAAAGAAAAGAAATGGCTGCACAATTGACTACAGTTTCCCTGTAATACCAAGCATAATTTGGGGCATATACTGCATTGATGAAGGCACAAATCTATCTATGATCTCTTTTGATAAGACGAACAAAGCGTCTCAAAGAAACTAAAAAGGTCGCCTAAGCAAAACTTGCATCGTGGGGAAAGTTAATAAGCACTACAGACACGATCTGGTACTAGTTGTAAGACAACTAAGTTCTATTTTAAAGGAAATTTGCCTTGCCTTAGGGACATCCGAATATGAAACAGTCGGGGGCAACATCGGAGAGCCAAAGTCTCCAGGAAGCTATACAGAGTATCCAAGCATCTCAGTACCATACTGGAAGAATCAGTTCTTCTATAGCAATGACCGTGACTTCAAGATACTTAGGGTATCAAGGCCGCAAACCAACCAGCACTTTGAAAACTCACAGTTTTTCTTTGTTTAAAGCAGGAACAAAGCAATGCAGAATGGCGATTCTCAAAGGACGAATATCACCAAAGGTAAGTCCCTCAAAATCTCCATTTTATTTTATTTTTCAGCATGCATCACTACTATATATAACTCTCATTTTCATAGCTTAACCCAGGTAGAACCGTTTCGCCTAGGGGGATCCATCTCATAGTTCCGGGTAGAAGTACTCTTCGCTCAGGTTGTTTTACGCAGCTTAACCCAGGTAGAATCTTTTCGCCTAGGGGATCCAGCTCATAGTTCCGGGTAGAATTACTCTTCGCCCAGGCTTATTTTTCTTAGCTTAACCCAGGTAGAACCTTTTTGCCTAGGGGGATCCAGCTCATAGTTTCCAGGTAGAAGTACTCTTCGCCCTGGGTATTTTTTGTAGCTTAACCCAGGTAGAACCTTTTCGCCTAGGGGGATCCAGATCATAGTTTCCAGGTAGAAGTACTCTTCGCCCTGGGTATTTTTTGTAGCTTAACCCAGGTAGAACCTTTTCGCCTAGGGGGATCCAGCTCATAGTTCCAGGTAGAAGTACTAGGTTATTTTATGTAGCTTAACCCAGGTAGAACATTTTTGCCTAGGGGGATCCAGCTCATAGTTTTCGAGTAGAAGTACTCTTCGCCCAGTCTTGTTTTTCGTAGCTTAAACTAGGTATAACTTTTTCGCCTAGGGGGATCCGACTCATAATTTAGGGTAGAAGTACTCTTCGCCCAGGCTATTTTTCGTAGCTTAACCCAGGTAGAACCTTTTCGCCTAGGGGGATCCGGCTCATAGTTTTCGGATAGAAGTACTTTTCGCCCAGGCTTGTTTTTCGTAGCTTAATCTAGGTAGAACCTCTTCGCCTAGGGGGATTCAGCTCATAGTTCCGGGTAGAAGTACTATTTGCCCATGCTTGTTTTTCGTAGCTTAACCCAAGTAGAACCGTTTTGCCTAGGGGGATCCAGCTCATAGTTCCGGGTAGAAGTACTCTTTGTCCAGTCTTGTTTTTCGTAGCTTAACCAGATAGAACCTTTTTCATCACCTTGTTTAAGACCCAAAAATGCCTCAAATTCAAGCCCAAAAATACCTTGTGAAGCTTCATTGATAGTCACCTCTCTCATGCTAAAAACCAGCAGCTTCACGAGGTACAGTCGGGTTTCAGCCCGGGCTCGACTTTTAGAAGGTTCGTCGCTAGATTTTTTGCTCATCTGCCGATTTGTCTTTGGTTTGGTGTAGTTGCTCGGCTCAGAATTGTTTTTGAATTAATCAAGTTCAGAAGGAAATTTTTTGCTTAAAGTTTCATTGCTTATCCTCCATTTGTTAATTATTTCATTGTTTTGTGTGATGTTTATATAGAGGTTCATGTAATAATTTTTTGTGTTGTTTTATACACATTATCATGTTGTAGTTTCTTTTTACATGTTTCAAGCGATTTGTCAACAGATTATTTGAATAGAATTTTTTTCTTAATGAGATTTGCTATTTAGAATTAAGAATGAAGATCTTGCCATATTAATGGGCCATGCATTAGAGTTCAAGTAAGTGAACCAGAAATGAGTTACCACGTTTAATAGGAAAGAAAGAATTAGACATGGGTTGGATTGAGAATAAATCTGTAAGGCCCAATAATTTTATCACTAGACTAATAATTAGCTCATTCTTCCATAATGGATAAATATCTCCTAATTTCAACTCCGAATAATAATAAATGTGTTATTGATTGTGTACACGTACGCGTGATATGATTCTTGACACCAAATAAAAATGAGTACACGTACGCGTGACTTATTTCAAGATAATTTTCATAAATCTAATCAAGCAATAAAAGCGGACATAGGTAAAACATGAGAACCAATAAAACACAGGTTATCCAAAAATAATATAAGCCAAATGTAGTCAATAAAGCAACCGTGCTAGAACCACGGGACTTGGAAAATGCCTTACACCTTCTCCCCGGTCAACAGAATTCCTTATCCGGACTTTGTTTTCGCACACCAATAATAATAGAGTCAAACCTTCCTTTAACCATGGATTCAAATGAATGGTGACTTGGAACACCAAAAAATCAATTCCAAGTGGCGACTCTATAAATAAAATAATCCTTACTCAAATTTGTCACTTTAATTAGAAAAATTCTTTAACCCATAATAATCCATAATACATATCTTTTGGGGGTGGAGGAGGGAGGGTAAAAAGGAGGTGTGACAGCCATGGCTGTGCAATTGCAAGATAAGCATATTGTGTTTTTCGACCAAGTTTGTTCCTGTTAACCATTCCAGCTTCCAAATTAACTTGTTCTGATGATGAAATTATAGCCCATTTCGTCGATTCGCCTGTCTTCTAATTGAGCCTTATTTTGAAGTTTTGTTTTAATAAGGCCACACTTCAAGCAAAAAAATTCTCAAGTTTAAACTTCAGAGATACACAATTGAACTGAAGTTTGCCCTTGCTATGAACTGAAATTTGCCCTTGCTTATGAACTAAAGTTTGCGTGATTGCCTTTGCAAGTCAGGCCAAATTTCAGGCAAAAATATCTGAAGTTTTGTTTTGATAAGGCTACACTTCAGGCAAAAAATTCTGAAGTTTTGCTTTGAAAGGCTACACTTCAGGCAAAAAATTCTGAAGTTCAAACTTCAGATATACACAATTGAACTGAAGTTTGCCCTTGCTTATGAACTAAAGTTTGCGTGATTGCCTTTGCAAGTCAGGCCAAATTTCAGGCAAAAATATCTGAAGTTTTGTTTTGATAAGGCTACACTTCAGGCAAAAAATTCTGAAGTTCAAACTTCAGATATACACAATTGAACTGAAGTTTGCCCTTGCTTATGAGCTGAAGTTTGTGTGATTGCCTTTGTAAGTCAGGCCAAACTTCAGGAAAAAATATCTGAAGTTTTGCTTCGATAAGGCTACACTTCAGGAAAAAAATTCTGAAGTTCAAATTTCAGATATAAAGTTTTGCTACTTCAGGCCCGTATATCTGAAGTTGCCCGAAAAGTGGGTACGCTTGCAATTTTTTTTGCAAAGTGAGTATACGTTAAATGGTGACCCAATAACTGGTTATAGATGTAAATGCCCCCAAATGTGCTATGAATATGACATAATATCCACAGCCTAATTCATTATGTACTGGGTGTTGTGCTCGTTTGAAGTCCGGTCATTACGATCCTGAATGTCTTATTTTTTTCCATGTTTTGTTTCCATTGAGCTTCCTATATACCATTCTCAACCTCCTTCAATATACATTATAATCTCGTTGACATACTCCAAAGATTTTACTACCCTTATGTGGGTCCTCACACCTCGGGACCACTTTAAGCACATCATCAATAATTTTGATTAACCCAAATAGTTGTCCGAAACTAGCTCAGGGAGCTTTACCAGAATATTGGAGTAGAATATTTTTAGCTAAAAAATAGGAAGACATTGGTTTGGGGTCCATGTGGGATTCCTTAATTTTATGGTTTAAAATATACTATATGGAATGTAATTTTGAGAATAATGCTAAAAATATTGTAACGCGTCTTTTAAGATTGAATAGTTATGTAAAGGTAGGTTTAAGTTATATTGACGGTGTAGAATATATGAAACAATTATAAGTCTATTAAAAGGTATATAATTCTATGTAACACTATGTAATATAGCATTGATAGATAACCTACAGGAAATGAGAAATAACCTACTATAATATATTAAATGACACGAATGACATAAAAAATTACTATCTCCGTTTCAATTTATGTGAACCTATTTCTTTTTTTAATCCGTGCAAAACAGAATGACCTCTTTCCTTATTTGAAAATAATTTACCTTTATGCAATGATTTATAGCCACACAAAATATATGTACCTCATTTTACACCACAAGTTTAAAAATCTTTTCTCTTTTCTTAAACTCCGTGCCCAGTCAAATAGGATGGAGTATTATATTATCAGTGCATGTAACAAAAATCTAAAAAATATTACGGTTACATACTCCGTAAGATATTATCAGTTCATCAAGACCGTTCTTCTTAGCTAGCAAGCGCTTCAACAACAACAACACAACTCAATATAATCTCACAAGTGAGGTTTGGGGAAGATAGAACGAACGCAAATCGTATCGTTACTTTAAAGGTAGAGACTATTTCCGATAGACCCTAACTAAAGTAAAGATAAAAAGAAAGTAGCACGAACAAGCACTTGTGTGCAAGAATATATAAGTTGATGAAAGCAAAGCTTCAAGCCCTGTCCCAAGAAAAAGAAGAGGATGCAAATAGTAGCGGAGCTAGAGCTCTAGACAGAATCCAGTACATAGCTTAGCCTAAAACTTTATACTTGTATTATATATATATATATATATATATAGCAGAATCTAGTAATTAAGCTGCATTTTTCCAAATCCAGAATTCATAAACTAAAAATTCTGAATCCATAGACTCGCAAAAATATAATACTACTACTACTCATTGGATTTCTCCAGGTACTTATGCTTTTCCTCCTCAGTCATAAAAGCAGTGATAGGAAAAGACTTTCCAATTCCTATAGGAGTCTTGAAATAAATTTTCTTTGAAGTAGGATCTTCAATGCTCATTTCAACTGTTGAAACCCAAACAAGTAGCTGCTTACCCTTAACACCAGTTATTTTTTTCATCTTCCTTCTCTCCAACTCCACATATGCAGTAACCTCAGTTGCATAACTAACAAGATGTTTCGTTGAACTAAAATAATGTTCGTATGGCGCCTTTTGCTTCATCCATGCAAATCCAGTTTTGCGAACATAGCCAAATTCTTCAAGTTCTTTAAGAGGAAGAACTCCTTTGGGAAATCCTAAGTTTTGCAAAAGCTCTATAATTTTGCGGTGGCAGTTTTCAGCTCCATATGTAATTTCTGCTCCTTCACGTTCATTTTCGTGTGATTTTTGCAGATCACTAGCCATTATTTTGTAGATGATTTAGATAGGAAAAAAAGATATATATTGTAGGATTCAGCTGCAACTTAGGGTTATGTTATATATAGTAGAAAATTAATTTATTAGAACAAGAAAAACATGGCAACTTATTAGTGTGTATTAATGGGTTGTTGGCAGCTGGAAGTTTAGCAGAAAAGTTCTGGTTGTAGGAGTTATTCATTGTGACAAACGCTAGAGTTACTAATTTATAAACACTTATTGTGTCAAACGCTAGTTGTCTAATGGAAAAGTTTCAGACTCTCTACCACGTTGATGTATGCAGGGGGGAAACTAGAAGCCCATATATGGATTCAGCTGAACTTAGTAATTTTTCTCAAATAATGTATTTGTATTAAAAAAATTCATAAAATATGTATAAATATTAAATTATGATCCAATTATTAGCACTAAAAGTTGTTGCTCTAAATCCAGAATTCATAAAATTAAAATCTTGGTTCCACTTCTAAATGTACGCGATGTTTTGATGAGTGACAAATAAATTTATTTATTAAATTAATTTGAGGGGTTTGCAACAGTCTAGTTATTGTTAACGTCAATTTCTAGAAGTAAGTCTTACGTTAGACAAGAGATGGTGGCTCAAAGGTTATCACCCCCACACCTACAATCAGAGTCCTGGGTTCGAGTCACCAAAGAAGCAATAACTCCAAAAAGAGAGATAAAAGGGGAATTAAAAGGGAAGGGGAATAAATAAATAAATAAATAAATAAAGAGAGTCTTAGGTTACAAGAGTGTTACGACCCAAAACTCACTATAGGCCGTGATGGCGCCCAACGTCGCCGTTATACAAGACAACGATAAACTACCAACTTAATTGTGCATTTTATTATTTTTGAAATCGTGAATTTTATTAGATAAAGAAATCAACACATAAAAACCATGGAAACTTACTCTTTAATTAGAATAGATAATAAAAGTGTGTAAATACTAAGCAGAATCACATCCAACATCTAGAACATCCCAAAACCCCGTGTCACAAGTGCATGAGCCTTTACTAAGGAGTACAGTAATAATATAATATATGTCCGGAATGTAACTACGACATGATAAAGTAAATAGTACGATGGAGACTCTGTGGGTTGCAATATGTAGCCTAGAATGCAGCTCACCATAAAGTATCCTCAGTAGTTGCGCCTACGCGCAAAGATAACCACCAATTGAACATGTCAGATCCTGCACATTTAGTGCAGGAGTGCAGCATGAGTATGTAAATCAACGCATATCCAGTAAGTATTTAGTATAACCCCGGAGAAATAGTGATAAGAGGTCGATATAGACACTTACTAGAGGTCCAATAAAGCAATATAATAAATCAACAACAACAACAATAAACCAGTAAAATCCCACTAATGGGGTTTGGGGAGGGTAGTGTATACGCAGACCTTACCCCTACCCCGAAGGAGTAGAGAGGCTATTTTCAAAAGACCCTCGGCTCAAAAAAATAAAAAGACAAAAGGACAAAAAGGAGACAATATTAGTAAATATTAGTATCACCACAACAATCATAAGAAAAATAGGAACACCATGAAATCCAGAAGAAAGATGCAAAGCAAAAGGAGACAATATTAGTAAATATTAGTATCACCACAACAATCATAAGAAAAATAGGAACACCATAAAATCTAGAAGAAAGATGCAAAAAAATAAGAGATAGCTAGTAAATAGGATATGCACTAAAAAGCGAAATAGTAAGCCACAACATTGCCACTAGCTATCTTAGACAAAAACCCTACATGGCTAGTCCCACAATGGTACGAAGTAAGGCACGACTCAACTACCTCCTAACCTACAACCCTAATACTCGATCTCCACATCTTCCTATCAAGTGTCATGTCTTGGGAAATTTGGAGCCTCGCCATATCTTGCTTGATCACCTCTCCCCAATACTTCTTAGGCTGCCCTCTACCTCTTCTTGTGCCCTCCGCAACCAGCTGCTCACACCTCCGTACCGGAGCATCTGGGCTTCTCCTCTGAATATGTCCGAACCATCTAAGCCTCGCTTCCCGCATCTTGTCATCAATGGGAGCCACATGCACCTTCTCCCAAATATCATCATTCCTAATCTTATTTATCCTAGTGTGCCCGCACATCCACCACAACATCCTCATTTCTGCTACTTTCATCTTCTGGATATGTGATTTCTTAACGGGCCAACACTCAACCCCATACATCATGGCCGGTCTAACTACCGCTTTATAAAACTTACCTTTGAGTATCGGTGACACTCTCTTGTCACACAGGACTCCAGATGCTAACCTCAATTTCATCCATCCTACCCCAATACGGTGTGTGACATCCTCGTCGATCTCCCCTACCCCCTGGATAACCGAACCAAGGTACTTGAACCTGCCTCTTCTCGGGATGACCTACGAATCAAGCCTCACATCCGCGCCTACTTTCCCTGTCTCAACACTGAACTTACACTCCAGGTATTCCATCTTCGTCCTGTTCAGCTTGAAACCCTTAGACTCAAGAGCCTGTCTCCAAACCCCCAGCCTCTCCTCAACACCGGCTCGCGACTCATCAATCAGAACTATGTCATCAGCGAATAACATGCACCATGGCACATCCCCTTGAATATGGTGTGTTAACGCGTCCATCACCACGGCGAATAAGAACGGACTGAGCGCAGAACCTTGGTATAACTCTATTACAACCGGAAATGCTCAGCTTCGCCTCCTACTGTCCTAACCCGAGTCTTAGCCCCATCATACATGTCCTTAATCGCCATAATGTAGGGAACCTACACACCTTTTGCCTCCAGGCATCTCCAGAGAATTTCTCTAGGAACCTTGTCATACGCTTTATCTAGGTCAATAAACACCATGTGCAGATCCTTCTTCCTCTCTCTGTATAGTTCCACCAACCTTCTAACAAGGTGTATATCTTTTGTAATCGAACGACCGGCATGAACCCGAACTGGTTGACGGATACAGACACTGTCATCCTCACCCTCGCTTCAATCACCCTCTCCCACACTTTCATGGTATGACTCAGTAATTTGTTACCCCTATAATTATTACAACTCTGGATATCACCTTTGGTATTATACAATGGAACCACCGTACTCCACCCCCACTCATCCGACATCCTCATCCCCTTAAAAATAATATTAAACAACCTAGTCAACCATTCCAAACCTTCTCTCCCCACACACTTCCAAAATTCCACCGGAATCTCGTCTGACCCGGTCGCTCTGCCCCTATTCATCTTACGCATAGCTCTCATGACCTCCTCAACCTCGATACGCCTGCAGTACCCAAAGTCACGGTGACTCTCAGAATGCTCCAATTCGCCTAGCACAATATCCCGATCCCCTTCTTCATTCAAAAGTTTATGAAAGTAAGTCTGCCATTTCCTCTTAATCTGGGCATCTTCCATGAATACTCTACCATCTTTGTCCTTGATGCATCTCACTTGGTTCAAATCCCGAGCCTTCCTCTCTCTCAACTTGGCCAGCCGGAATAACTTCTTCTCCCCACCTTTTTTCCCCAATTCCTCGTACATACGACCATAAGCCGCAGTCTTAGCCTCTTTGACCGCCAGCTTAGCCTCCTTCCTAGTTGCCTTATACCTCTCCATACACACTCGCCTCTCCACCTCACCTATGCTCCCCACTAACTTCAGGTACGCCGCCTTCTTTGCTTCCACTTTACCTTGGACCACTTCATTCCACCACCAGTATCCTTTGTGCCTACCAGAGACTCCCGTCGAGACCCCTAACACCTCTCTCGCAACCTCCCTAATACAGTCTGCTGTCGCTGACCACATAGTGCTCGCGTCAGTACTGCTCCTCCAAGCTCCCATAGTCGACAACTGCCCCTCTAACGCTTGGGCTTTATCCTTAGTTAAGACTCCCCACCTGATTCTCGGTCTTCCTCGAGTAGACCTTTTCCTTCTCTTTAACATAATACCAACGTCCATCACTAAGAGCCTATGATGCGTCGCGAGTATCTCACCCGGAATCACCTTGCAATCCTTGCACAACCCTCTGTCACACCTCCTGAGGAGGAGATAGTCAATCTGGGTCTTCGCTACCGCATTTTGAAAAGTAACCAAATGCCCCTCCCTCTTCCGAAAGCTAGAGTTCGCAATCACTAACCCAAAAGCCTTAGCGAAGTCCAACAATGATGTACCTCCTCCTTTCCTCTCCCCAAAACCGAAGCCTCCATGTACCTCGCCATAACCACCTGCAATCAACCCAATATTCCCATTGAAATCCCCTCATGTGAATAGCTTCTCAGCAGGCGGAACCTGGCGCACAATCTCATCCAACCCTTCCCAGAAGCGCCGTTTAACCTCCTCATCTAGGCCCACATGCGGCGCATAGGCGCNCTAACGATGTTTAGGGTGCACTCTCCAACCACCAACTTAATAGTCATCAATCTATCATTCACTCGTCTAACCTCAACCACAGACTATCTAAGTTCCCTATCCACCAAGATGCCCACTCCATTCTTACCTTTCTGGACTCCTGAGTACCA